TTAATCAAGGTAGTTCTTCTGTATTGTTATTATCTTAAGTAATGGTAGGTAAAAAAACAATGGCTCTTATATAATGGTGGGATACGGGAGTTTAAAACTACAGGTGGGATATTACATATTTAGAAAATTAGAAATAAACACATATTTGATGCATTTTAAATGTTTGCCAATTTCAGGAATTTTCGAGGAGAACCATATTTATCTATATTTGTAATGATAGAAAATCACCATCTAAGAAAGACAATTGACCAAAAAGCTAGCAAAGCTGTCTTTAAAATGGTGGCAAGCTCACATTTCTTTACATAATATGCCATTTAAATTTTAATAGTAATAAAAGTATATAAAACTGAAGTAAAGATAACCCACGTCCTTGCTCCACCATGGAAAGAAGGTGAATCATGGTCTGAAAAGAACCCTCAGGCAGTTCACCTACCCGCACCGGCTCCCGTATGCTCTTCCCTATCATGAACCACAACACTCATGACAAATCTAGAGGGCCCAATAATTTTGTGCCAACCCAAGTACAGCAGTACTAGAATCTGGCCTATACATAATGTGGAAAAGACACTCATCAGATGGCAAATCAGGGTGACTGGATCCATACAATAAAGAGAATGCAGAGCATGTGTGATCTTGAATGTGCTGTGGATTGTTTCCTCTAAGACACATCTATAGCTTACACTTAAAACACATCTATGCCTTATATTTTAAGAAAAATACTCAAGATATACTTCAAACTTAAAAACAAACAAAAACACCTCTCAGTTTGATTTTTGACTCCAAGAACAGGAGAACAAACTTGTTTGAGTTCCCAGTGTTTTCATGATTAAGATTTATTTTTCTTTTCCCTAAAATCCTAGTGAGGTAGAAAAAGTAAAAAGGTACCAATATAGCAAAACTAGATTTAAAAAAAACTAAGACTACTTAAAATGCCAGTGCAGAGGTAAAGCCTATAGCTTTTGACCTCATGGGTAATGGGGGCAAGTTTGTCAATCTTGCAAACCAGAGAGAAGAACAATCTCCCTCTCCATAGTTAGAATGTGAAGTCTGGTTTAAGAAGTGGGGTTCATATGCCACACTACTTTGTTCTACTCGTAATTCCAATGAGAACTAAAAGCTAGTATTACAGCCTTGCTCCTCAGGGTGAGATGCTCAGACCAGCAGCATTGGCATCACAGAGGAGCTTGTTAGAAGTGCACTCTCAGGTAGACCTCACAACATACTAAATCCAAATCTGCGTTTAACAAGATCTCCAGGTGATGTGCATGCACACTGAGGTTTTAGTGGCACTGTTCTAGAGAACTTGGAATGAGCAGGTGGACAGCTAATCCCTTTCTGCCAAGGATGTTTACTTGAATTCCCTCATGCAAATAAATTCACCACTGTTTCCAGCAAGATAACTTCTACTATACTTGGATGAAAAACAAAGCTGGACTTTCAATTCCTGTTCTGCTACTTACTAGCAAGTTATTTAACTGCTCTGAGTACCAGTTGCTTTACTTAAAAAAAAAAAAGGAGAGAAAAAGAGAGAGAGAAACTAAGAAAACTATTTTATGGGTCTATTATGAGAATTAGATGAATGTAATGTTAAGAATTGCCAGGAATGTCTCCAGCTCAAGGCTGAAAACGGCTTCTGGCTTGGTAATGATAGGATCTGCAAACATTGCCTTAACACTGAAAAAGAAAAATCAGTTTTCCTAAAATTAGCATATTATACATTCCATACTATTCTAACAAAAATCCCAACAGATACTTTTAATTGGATAAAATAATCTTAAAGAACATTTTAAAAAAGAAACCTTAACCATGACGAGAAATGCAGATATATATAAATACACAATTTATATTTATACATATATTTGTATTTATTTTTATATGTAATATATTTATATTTACACATATAAAATCCTGTATAAAATTATATTAAAGGCCAGGCGCAGTGGCTCAGGTTTATAATCCCAGCACTTTGGGAGGCCAAGGCAGGCGGATCACAAGGTCAGGAGTTGGAGACCAGCCTAGCCAATATGGTGAAACCCTGTCTCTTCTAAAAAATATAGAAATTAGCCCAGGTGCGGTGGCCCACACCTGTAGTCCCAGCTAATCAGGAGGCTGAGGCAGGAGAATCACTTGAACCCAGAAGGCGGAGGTTGCAGTAAGCCGAGATCGTGCCACTGCACACCAGCCTGGGTGACAGAGTGAGACAACACAAAAAAAAAAAAGAAAAGAAAAAAATTATATTATGAAGAATATAGAAAAGTGTGTTTACTATATAGAAACAGATACCATAAATTAACACTTAAAATATAGGGGAAATCTAAATGATAAATATGAAATAGTGAATATGAAATTATATATATGAAAAATACATATAAAATGATGTTCATGCTCACTGCTAGTGGGGTAGGTACAAAATAAATTAACAATGACATAATACTTTAAGTGACTCAGATTGGCAAAAATTTACAAGTGCCAAATTACCAAGAAGATGGCAAAAAATATTTTTGTATATATAATGGGATAATTACTGCTTTTACTTCAAGGGAATAGATTCCCAGAATAAGATTGCTGGGTCAAAGGAATTGTAATAGTGGTAGCAACAGTAGCAGTATTCATCATAATAGTAACAATTACTATGATTAGTACCACAATGATAGTAGCAATCCACCGCCTGGTGATCTGCTAAAACACCATCATCATTGCAGTAGTGGTAGCTATAGTAATAATTGCAATACTGCTACTGCATGGACAGCACTTTATGTGCCACTGTTCTAAGCACTTTACATATGTTAACTCTAATCCTTCTCACAAAAACGCTAAAAAGTAGGGAATTATGATTCCTATTTTACAGGTTAGGAAACAAACACTAAGCGTGCCTGGCACACACAGTAAGAACCATTAGCGTTGTATGTTAGTTAGATAGGTTGGCAACTTTTGTTTTTGTTGTTATTATCACATATTTTCTGACATAGCAATTCTACTCCTATGATTCTAACTCAAATGAGAAACTAACAACAAAAAAATCAAGCACGTACATGATTATTAGTGAATATTTGTCATGGACAGGTATGAGGAAATCTATCTCTGTATGAAACAAAATACAGTAAAATGTATACAAGGTGGTTAACCTGCATTATCTTGTTGAAGCGTAGGTGATATTGGGAGGAGAGGAGGGCTGGAGAAAGAGGGAAGGAATCCAAATAAATCAGTAAATCAGAACACACAGACACACACACACATACACACCTGCACACAAAGATAGAAAGAAGGTTTAAGTATAGGAAAACAATGAAGAAATAATGTTTACATTCTCTGGGGACACAAAGAGCTCTGGAAGAGTTTAAAGAATATGTGCTTTTATGTGAATTTCATTTCCAAGAAGAGTGATACCTTTGATAAATGATTTGGGCTTTTCCCCCCATACAATATCAAGTATTAAGAAACTTTTCAAAGCTTTATTCTTTATTGAAGAACAACAAAAATCTTAGTAATTCTAAGGTTCAAAACTCAGTAAGGGTCAAGTTAAAGGCACTGTCTAGGGGCAAGAAAGCTGAGTTCTGTTCCTGGAGCTGCCACCATTGGACTATTTGATCTTTGGCAAGTCACTTAATCTGTACTTAATTTCCTCACTCACAAAGGAAGGAAGTTCAACCAGGCCATCTTTAAAGCTCCTTTAAGAAGTAGAATGTAATGATTCTATAATTAAAAAGCACAATGTGGAAAAGTGAAAAACTAGTAAACAGGAGAGATAATCATCATACATTTTAAAGAAATGAAGTTTCAAATCTTAATAACTTCTAATGATCCAGGTAATTTAATGATTCACTTAAAAATGGAACATTTAAGAAGTATAAAGTACAATAAGATCAATTTTTGATTTTACATTTCCAAATGGTGAATTTAACTACCCAATGCTTTAATTTTGACTTTAATTCTGAGAAAAGCAATGCTGCCATTTTACATATTTTCAGATTACTCACTGAGGACTTAATTTGTCCTTTAAAATGGGGCCATCTATAAGGTGCAGTTCAACCAAAATATCATCTTCTAGAGACCACATGTAACAGCCCTATGAAAAAAAGGCTGGGCAATGCCAGCCAGTCAGACACATAAATAGATTGCACAATAAAATATGTAGCAGAAATTTTTGAGTAAAATTATTGATAGAACACACAAAAAATGGAAAAAACAATTTGCTTGGAATGGCAGTCTCCTGAAGCAACATTCATAGTTTAAATTGTTATATTTTCCTAAGTTTATAAGTAATAATATGATTATTAGTCATACTTTATGAAAATTTAAAGCATAAAAATCATTAACTCATAGGGCATAAAAATTTCCATGAGCTTTTTACATTTTATGTATTTTATTTCCTTAAATGGTTATGGGATTTTCCAAAAGCATACACACAATTCCTTAAACTTTGCCAACTTAGAATTCGTTACAGAAAAATCACTCTTCAGACCATATGGAATTCTCTAGACAAATCTACTCAACCTTTTAGGTTGAGTAGGATGATAGGTTATCTGAGTGTGAATTCCACCCCTCCCTCTGCCCCCCCCCACACACACACAGGAAAAAATATTAAAATATTAAGACTTGGCCCAACCAGATTTTATAGGCGACACTGATGTAAAGAAACAATTTATGGCTTGCACAGATATCTAAAATTCCCACAAACAAGCGGTTCCCTAAGTGGTATGTCATAATTTTCTTATCTATGAGTACAAGCACGTGCATTTATTTATATCCCTAGGTTAACTTCAAGTCTAATTTTACTGCCAGTAGTATCCGTGGGTGGATTTCTTTGTTCTAATTACAAATGGAACTTGAGCTAGATCAAAGGCATTTTAGGAAGGTCAAATTTTCCTTCTCTGAAAAATAGAGAGTGTTATCCCATGTAATTAATTAATGCTTAGCCATGCCCTTTGGCGCATTGTCCTGTGGCTGCAGAAAAGCAGAGCCAGCCGTCCCCACCTGTCGGTGCGGTGAAACAGACTTACCCAAAACAGCAGATTGAGGGCATAGAGCAGGCAGCGCAGACACTTCACGGAATCTTCTCTGGCCATTGTGAGTCCCGGAAGGGAGAAGCCCCATCCTTTCACCACATCCTACTCCCAAGGGCAAAACGGCAGCGATCTGCGGGGGGCGGGGGGGGGGGGGAGAGAGGACAGGGGACATGTCACCTACACGCTCCCCACCGTCTGCCCGTCCCTCCTCCGCCACCCTCAGCAGGGTCCCTAAGCCCAGTGCATTCGAGAAAGAGCCTCATCAAAAATCATCTGTTAAAGTCATAACAGTAACTAAACTCCCAAAAGTTCCAAAGCGGCTTCAGATAACACCTGCTTGGAAAAGAAAAGGGCACCCATCCGGATGAATGGAGGCGCACAGTAAAGTCGCGTTCTCGGGGGACACGCGGCGGGGCCCTGTGCTTTCCGATGAGGCTCTCATGAAACCTTCCTCACTCCACGCCCCTCTTCGGGGACACCTCTGCTGGGAACTGTCCTGAAGGTTAGAAACCGCGGTGCCCCCACCCCGGAGACGTCACAGGCGCCACCGGCGAGCCGGAAAGCTCGGGCGCCCTTCTAGTTAGGACTTTCCTGGGCACCACGACCCCCCACCCATACCCTGACCCGCAGCTCGGCGACAGCAGGGACTGGAGGGGGCGCAGCGCGGAGCCGGAGTTCCGCCCAGCCACTAGGGTTTCTCTGGGAGAACGTGAGAAATGATGTTTCTGGCTCCAGAATGATGGATTAGCCGGGGACAGGGGCGGCGGACGGGGACGGGGAGTTAGGGCCGGTGCAGCCGTGCAGACGCCGGGGGACTCATTCGTACACCGCTTCCCTCCGACTCCGCGCTCCAAGCCGTCCGCGGAGCACAAAGCCAGCGCGGCCACCGGCCCAGCTACCGCGATCGCGCGCCCCCGGCAGGGAGCCCCGGAGCCAGTCCTTAGGTAGCTGAGCACACAGCGTGCAGGGCGGCCGCCGGCGGGACACGGGCAGGAAGGGCGGGACGACACACGTGCGGCCACTTACCGTCGGCGCCCCACGCCCACCCGGGGATAGTCGGGGACGCACGGCGGGGGCTCATCGGGGCAGGGACCCTCTTCCTGGAGAGTCGCAGGGCTGCACTGGCTTCAGCTGGAGACGCTTCTTTCTCTTCCTCTCCCCCCGCCGCCGCCGTCGCCGCCTCCTGGGGAAAAAAAAAAAAAAAAAAAAAAAAAAAAAAAAAAAAAGTCCTGGGCAGCAGTTGCTGGAAAGTCTCCGCTAAGCCACCTCCCAGCGCCGCTGTCCCTCCCAAGTCCTCTCCAAGTCCGGACGAGGCAGCGGCCGCAGCCGGGGCCAGCTGCACAAACTCTCAGCGCATGCTCGAGCCGCCGGCTGCCGGGGTTGGGTCCTAGTGGGTGTTTCTTGTCCTTCTCGCCCAGCGAGAGTCCCCAAAGAGACGCCTCACCTCTGCAGGACAGGGTCCAGAAAAATATAATGCCTAGAAACTTGGGAGAAGCCCGGGCAATAAATCCCTTTAAAATGGTGGTGCCGAAGGAATGGAGGCTGGGTTATAAGGATAGAGAAACAGGCTTTTATTATATGAAAATATTTGTGTTTGAGAAGGGGGGCGAAGGGGTGGCCCAACCCAATTCCTGCCATGGGAAACCAGTTTTCACAACCTTTACGGAACCACCTCCTGTGATTCGTTATTAACATGGTGCCCTATGATCCTTCTTATTGCTTTGTTGCCCTCCTGATTGAAAAAAAAAAGTTATTTCCCACTTTCATACTGCACTAACAGCATTTATGGAAACATCAGAGTAATCGTGTCCAGTATGATATGCAGAAGAGAAGGAAAGAACATTTTTAACCCTTACAAGTAACTCAAACTTTCCAAAATGTCTCACAATAAGATTGTTTTGAGTTTTAACTGGGTGATTTATTTTGAAATACGTACATAGTAGTGGATCTTCGGATATTTTTAAATTAGAAATTTATGAAGTATTAAACAACAGGAGACCATCCTTCCAAAAGAATCTTCCCTTTTAGAAGTAAGAAGTTTGATACTAAATAAAATACTACCGAATCAGATCTCCTAAAATGTGGATGCGTTATGCCTCACGATACTGCTCATTTCTAGGATTACTTTTGTGGGCTCTGCATGGCAAATAAGACTTCACCAACAAATATGAATTACCTGGAACACAAGCAACACCTTTGAGAAAACCTAATAACTAGAGAGCCCTTAGATTTTCTTGCAGGAAAAAAAAAAAAATGGAATTCTCTGTCCATGACTCCCTAAGGTCAGTTGCTACGAACTGGAGTGACAATAAGACACGCAGTCTCATGTAGAAAAAAGCAAAGTCAAAACTGAAAAACAGCATGGTTGTCCTAGGTAGGGCTAGGAAAATTATTGGCAAGCAAGTCACTGAGCAGCATGTATGACAGCAACCCAGAAGAGTATAAAGAAGTATAGCCATGCACAAAATATACCAAGAAAAGTGCCCAGTCATCAATCGGATGACTACAACTCTGGTAATAAAGCAGCTTGTAGAATCTTGGGGAAGAGGAAAGAAACCCACTTTTATCTTCTGCCAGTTTCTTCTCAAATTAGGGTGCATACCTATTTTAAGCAAAGGACTGCTGAAACAACCAGCCGTCCAAATGCTGTTGGTGCCACACATTCCTGGAGAGATATAAACATCCCCACATTGAGAGGAGTCCATGACTGCTATTAAAACTGAGAAAAAGAGTGCCAACAATTCCCATTTCTCAAAGCAGAGATCTTCTTCTATTTCTAGAAGGTGGTTACATGCCCTTTCCTTAATTCATAAGCCTTTAAGGGTCAACTGCTTTAAAATAATAAAATACTAGAGGAAATTACTTTAGAAGTATGTATGACATCCTCTTCCTGGTAAATAAGGAGTATGGATTCAAGAGAAATTAAAATAGTTGCTCAACATCACACCTATAGTTCAACCTAGATTCCAAAGTAAAATCCAGAATCATGACTCTTTAGTACACTAGTTTAATGGTTCTCAAAATTGTTGTACATGAGAATCAGTTGGAGAACTTTAGGTATGCCAGATAATTAGGAAACAATTATCAGGTATGCCAGATAATTAGGCTTGTTTCCTAATTATCTGGCATACCTGATACCACTTAAATCAAAATTTCTGCAGGTGTGGCCTAGACATACATGTTTTTCAAAGCTGTAATTCTAGTCTGTAGCAACTTTTTCCAAGGTAATTCTAGTATGTAGCAAACTTTGAAAACCACTGCAACTAGGGCTTTACAGCTACCTAAAAACTAGCAAGAGTCTCTTTTTCATTGGATTATTGACTTCATTGGATCAAATGCCTCTCCTGTGACTTGATAAATTGAGATTATTATCCCCATTTTACAAGTTAAGAAGAAAACGGAGCTGTAGCTACTGCTCTAATATTCCTGATAAATGGTCATCAGAGACAGTGAATCAACATTTCAGTAAAGGAGACCTCACTGTATTTGAGACATTGCAGTAATGGGTAGTTTTGATTAAACTTGACCATATCACTCTTTAACTTCTACTGTTCAACCTCAGTTCTGCCCTTGGACTCCAGAGCATGAGCAAACCTTCCTCCTGTATGACAGCCCTTCAACTACTTGAGAGCAGCTGTTCTTCCCCCCCCCCCCCCAATTCTTCTCTTCCCCAGAATTATAGAAGCACAATAAGACTTGACATCACAGCTGTCATTCTGAGGGTTCTATATTTTTCTCTGTGAGATCTGGTTTTGTGTGTGTGAACAAAAGGAGGATAGAAATGTCATAATATGCACATAAAAACTTAAATGTGCAATAACATATTAGGTAAATTTTATGGTCTATTTACTACCCATTATTCAGGAACCCAATTCTGTGACCAGGTGTGCTCCATTAAGTATCATTTCAGTGGTGGTACCTACTGTGCCTCACGCTGAAGATTCTAAGACAAACTCTTCCTCTCCAAGAAAAGGCAAAACTGTCCTTTCCCATTATATGATAATAATATCAAAAAATAATAAGCATTTACAAGGAATCACATACATGCCGGTCCCAGTGTCAGGAGTAAAACTCAGCTATACGTTAAGAGAATACAAGTTCCTCACTCCATAAGGCACCTCGCTTATCTATATCTTATTCCATTCATTCTGCTCAAGTTATGGAGAGGTAAAGGATAACACAGGAGTTTGGATGTATGAATTGCTATACCTTCTTAGTGCAAGACCTTCACAAGTACACCTAAGCCAGTTCTTTACAATTAATATGGGCTAGACACCTAATAGGTTTTGAACAAATTATGTGTCCGACCTAATAGGTGCTTCTCACAACTTATCTTATGAATTCCTAATAACCATATGTTGAGATACCTGAAGTCAATGCAGATAGCTGATTTTTACCAGAGCCACACAGGTGGTAAATAAAGAAGTTGAGATTCTAAGATCTATCTGATTCTTTCCACTGTTAATCTGCATTAAATAAAATTTCAAATCTGGGCAGATAACCCTTAAGAGGAAAATATTAGAGCTTTTTAAAATTAGTTTTTGAAAACATGAAGCTGAATTTCAAGTATGTGTACTTAAACTATGAATGACTGGTAAATCTACTTCTAAAAGAGTATGCAGACCCAATAGGACCTGGGAAAATCCTTTCATTGCTGAATTAAGTAGACTGCTCTCTATTGCAAACTTAGGGTTGCCAGATAAAATACAAGACACCTCATTAGATTTAGATTTCAGATAAACAACAAACTGTTTTTTGTATAGGCATATCCCAAATGTTGGTTGGGACATATGAATACTAAAAAATTATTCAAGTCTACCTGAAATTCAAATTTTAATTGCATATCCTGTGTTTTTATTAGTTGAGCTGGCCTCCCTATGCAAACTAGCAAATGAAACTCAAAGAGCGACAAAAACAATTAAATATGTTTCACATAACAGTGAGTCAAGAAATAGTGATTCATCTGCCCAGTAGTGGTATCAAGGAATCAGTTCTTTTCCCTCCTTACTCTCCTGGCACTCACAATGAGTCGCCATACTGTCCTCAGCTACCTCCTCTCATAGTTACGAGATGGCTGTGCAAATTCAGGCATCATTTTCAGTTACTACTACTTCCAAAGGAAGAAGAAACTCTTCCTTCCTATGAGTCTTAGAATCAAGCAACCTCTCCCAGGAGTCCTGCAACAGATTATCCCTTTAATTGATTGGGGGAATCTCATTGCATACTCATATATGTACCAATTATTGACAAGAACTATGATTCTGCCATGACTGGTTTGTTTTGTTCTGTTCTGTTTTGTTTTGTTTGAGACAGAGTCTCACTCTGTTGCCCAGGCTTGAGTGCAGTGGATCAATCTTGGCTCACTTCAACCTCCGCCTCCTGGGTTCAAGTGATTCTCATGCCTTAGCATCCCACAAAGCTGGGACTACAGGTATGCACCACCATGCCCAGCTAATTTTGTATTTGTAGAGACCAGGTTTCACCATGTTGCCCAGGCTGTTCTCGAACTCCTGACCTCAGGTGACTCACCTGCCTCAGCCTCAGAAAGTGCTGGGATTACAGGCGTGAGCCATCATGCCTGGCCAGGTTTAAACCAATCAGGATGTGTTACCTGTGCCTGGGACAGCCCTTCTCTAAAGCACATTGCCAAACAGAGGAGGGTAGATAACTGAACACAGTCAGATTTTTACTTGCATTGAGGGATCGAGAAAGGAAGGCATACTACCATCCTCTCTCCCATTCACTGCTAGAACAACCCAGCTCTCAGCCAACCTTTTTGTGGCACTACATAGCAAGTTTCTTAGTTATTGAAAGAACCACTGAAGCAGGAACCTCATGGCAATAGCAAAGGACCCTGAGAAAACTTAGATCACATCATTTCCATCCCGTGCCATAAGCTTACTTTCAGCAGCATCATTTACATTTACACACCAGGTGATTCATTAAAGAAGTG